CTAAAAATTGGAACTACTCTTTGCTGAAACGTTTCTGCAGAGTTTAGAGTCTTGGAAAGGATGTGATAAGAGTGTGAAAACGACACGGTCGTACAAGTGGTGTGATGTGTATGAATCCTGGATTAGATCAATTTATAAAAATGCGCCCGTGAGAGAGGGTCCAGGCCGAATAAATCACCCACATTAAATGCAACTGCATTATCAGAAATTCAACATTATGAGGATTAATGGTGTCATTATTACCGGATGCTCCTCCTAACCGGCCCATTCGGCCACCGAGGGCCGGACTTTATAATAAATTTAGTGCTCATATAAACATAAAAAAAGGCCGGGGAACGGAGAAGTTTTGCCGTTATGTCTGCGCAGTTATTTACGAGTTTAATGCAAGAAGAGTTGCCTCCTTCGCGTGAAGCCTTCTATTTTCTTCACCCAAAAAGTCGCGAAGAATTTATCATAATTGAAAATGATGTATGATATTTTTTCTGTACATGAAATATATTATATAGAACATTTAAGGTTTAGCAAAAGAGAACAGAAAGAAAAAGGACATTTGTGCTGGACAATTCATTATATGGACGATATGGTTTAATTAAATTGATAGTAGGTTTGTTCTAAATAAAAATGTTACATAAAGACCATAGAACTTATTTATTCTGTAAACTTCTCAATGTGTAATAAAATTAGCACACAAATTACATGTCCTTAACGTCCTTAATCTCTCTGATTCCTATCTTTCAAAAATTTCTGCCCTTGAAAATGGAAAGTCTGCTATAATGACACAGGGAATCAGGGATAAGCTTGGAAAATAAATTCACTAATTTCGTGGTCCGCTTGACCAATTAAATCATTACAATTAATTAAGGTTTTTAGTTGAGATGAAAAAAAGTCAATGGCACGAGAGGGATTCGAACCCACGACCTTCGGCTTGATACGCCGCTGCTCTACCACCTGAGCTATCGTGACCTCGATCCACTCGGACATCAACTCCCCATCTCAACCCCACCTTATGAGGAGTTTTCCCTCCTTTTGCCATTTTTCAAATGTCGTGTAATCGGTTTGGATTCTCGACGACAATTGGCTGGGGTTGAGATGGGGAGTGGATGTCCGAGTGGATCGAGGTCACGATAGCTCAGGTGGTAGAGCAGCGGCGTATCAAGCCGAAGGTCGTGGGTTCGAATCCCTCTCGTGCCATTGACTTTTTTTCATCTCAACTAAAAACCTTAATTACTTGGAAAATAAGTTAAACATTTTAAAGTGATAGTAAGACCCACGCTTTTATATGCCCGCCAGGTTTTGAGCTATACAAATAACTCTTGTACAAACACACTACAAATTGTACAAAATTAATTCCTGAGACTAATAATGGCATCTCCATGCAGCAGTCAAATTAGTTGTATGCATGAATTTTTTAAAAAGTATTACAAGGAGGAAATTAAGTACATACTGGTCATTTTTAGATATATTTGGACTTAACATCTTAATGAGCCGAGGATCTAATCGAGAGAAAAAAGCAAGAATGGACGGATCCAGGGTCGAAAATTATCTATTGTCTATATCTATGACTCTTTATAATAATGTTTTTTCTTTTATCTCGACCTGAAATAAAAAACATAAATTAACCTCCCTCGGCTTGGAATGAACAGGCAATAAATCATCAGTTGAGCGTCCATATTTGTCATTTCCGGAAATTTTGAAGATTTGAAGAAGGCGACGGAAAGGAAAGTTGATATAAATTCAATCGGAGATGATTCAATTTCAATCCGTACATGCCCTATGCCGAGATGAGAAGACGCCTCACCATAGCTAACTTGATTTCCATACCTAGCCTGTCTTCAAAAAGGATCCAGGTGGAAAAATTATCCATTGCTGTTCGAAGGATGTAAGAAAATTTACATAGAATTTATCAGTATCAAATAAATTTACGCATACAATATATTATTTTTGTGGGTAAGAACATTAGGTTTAGCAGGTTTTGCATGAAAAATGTTTTCAGCATTAGAAGTACATATTTCAGTATTACTCAGAAGAAGAATAAAAGAGGCTCTACATACTAAAATGTAAAATAATAATTGTAACTTTTTTCAATTAATTGATCTTTATGAAAGGTTTTGGTTGAGATAAAAAAAGTCAGTGTCACGAGCGGGATTCGAACCCACAATCTTCGGCTAAATACGCCTCTGGTCTACAGCTTGTGCTAGAGTGACTTCGATCGCTCGGACACCAACTTCCCATCACAACCTCACCACCGCTGACATTTTTATCTCAACCAATACCTTTCATAAAGATTAATTAATTGCAAAAAGTTAATTGGTCAATCGGACCACGAACTGTAATAGATTTAATAATTAAACAAGTATATCTTCTCCGTGGCCATTTCGTTTGTCGCCGAGAATCAAATAGATTACGCGATTTTTAAAAAAGGGCAAAAAAGGAGGGAAAATTCGGGAGGTGAGGTTGAGACGGGAAGTTGGTGTCCGAGCGGATCGAAGTCACGATAGCTCAAGTGGTAGAGCAGCGGCCGAAGGTCGTGGGTTCGAATCCCGCTCGTCACACTGACTTTTTTATCTCAACCAATACCTTTCATAAAGATTAATTAAATGAAAAAAGTGAATTGGTCAATCGGACCACGAACTGTAATGAATTTAATAATTGTAACATTCAAACAGAACGAACGGGCTTAAGTTCAATTTATGAAGGACTTATTAATTTTAAAAAGTAGTTTTTGATAACGAAAGGAGGTCCTCCGGGATTAGGTCGCTGTTGCAATCCTTGGCAATATTAGGACTGAGCGGTCCTATGTATATTGTATTTTTTTTTCGTATACCTACCATTGTTATTCGGGGGACCGCGGTTAGGGATGGTTAGGGTTAGTATTTTAGTATATTTTAAAAGTAGTATTTTCTGTAAATATACTACACTGGTTGTGGGCATCGTCTGTTAAATAAATAAATAAATTAAAAAAAAAATAAACTGATTAATGGGCTCATCGGTTCACAGAGTACCCTGTACTAGTTGACTATTTTTCGCATTTGTCTTTCATGGAACCCGTTTCAGTTCGGATAATAAAGAGCCTTTGATCGAATGAAAGATTGCCAGATTGAGCCGGGATCAAAACTAATTCCCGAACGAAAAATACCCCGGGAACTTTGCCTAGGGTGAAATTCGGTCTTAGTACACTCGCTGTTTACCGTGATGAATGCGCTAATTAAGTTCCGCTTAGTAACGAAATTCCTTGTTCACACCCGGGGCTTAGAAAAGGGCAGGTTAATAGGCTGGTGGACGAAACGAAGATTTATTCTAAAGAGAAGTCAATGCGGTGATTATAAGCTGAAAGGTGGGTGACCGCCAACTGACATGCGTGATTAGCGCTTCTTTGTACTCGGGTCGAATTTTGGTACCATGAACTTGTATATTTCGAGTGACTTTTTAACTTTATTTTAGTATTTACGTTTTTATTAATAGCAAAAAGTATAACTTTTGCATTGATTTGAACCCAATATGCAAATAAATTTAATATTTTCCTCATCTCACTTAGTCGTCGTGTAATATGAGCAAGGGTTTTATGTCCTTCATTTTATTTTGCCCATTCAAACACTTGTACACCCGTACAACTTGTATTTGTTTATTTCCCATAATAACTAGGTATAAAGATCCACAGACAAACCGACTCAAAATGTAAACATTAATACCTTATAGTTTATTTTTTAGAGTAGTACTAATCCTTTTAAACTCTTTATTTAAAAAAAAAAAAAAAAAAAAAAAAAAAAAACCAGATTAATTTCATTCTTTTTACAGGCAACTTCCATGTTATCTACCGAACCTTAACCCACGGATTCGTTCTTTTCCTTTTGGGGTTCCTCAAGGGAACAACCTAGGTTTGCTACTTTTTAGCATAAACACACTAGACTTCCCTCAACACACACTCACCCCTTTTTGCTGTCGATACAATCCTCTCGGCAAACCTTGATCTTGTCCTAGTGGTTCGATACCCTCCAAGATGTCTACCAGGAGTTCGATCGCGACTGGCACCAGGCTCTACTGCTGAATTTACCAATATTTCTTCATTAGTCCATACTATCTCATCCTAAAATTCTACCTATACTATCTTTTCTTCCAAGTAACCTACCGAACCTTAACCCCACCGATTCATTCTTTTCCTTTTGGGGTTCCTCAAGGGAACAACCTAGGTTTGCTACTTTTTAGCATATACACAGTAGACTTCCCTCAGCACCCTAACGCACTCATCCCTCTTTGCTGTCGATACAATCAGCAGACCTCGATATTGCCCTAGTAGTTCGATACCCTCCAAGACCACCTTCTTACCATAGAACCAAGGTTCAAATCCTAGTATATGTCCTTTATCCTCATATCCTTATCACCATTCGTATAATAAATGGAGCAAATGGGACCACAGCTACTAATTGAACGCCCTTAAAATCCCATAGAACAGACACAGATCCATTCTGTATAATAATTAGTTCGGTAATGGCATGATTGTTGATTACAGTCCATACCATAAATGACTGTCTTTGAAAAAGTCATGGCATATAAAGCAAAGCGTTCTCCACGTGTTCTCCACTTCGAGATGTCGGTCCCGGTCATCTGATAGCCGCAAAACAAACCGGCACTTATCTCCGAAGAGGACAGCTTCTCGTTCAAGTATCCAAGCAAAATGCTGATTTGCGAATATTCGCCTTTCTATTCGATGCCTCACCAACAGTACAGAACCTGATGCGGGAAGTCAAGGAAGCAGTTAAATGACGTAGTGCTATATGAGCTTTAAAACCATCGTCTCTAGATAGATAGATAGATAGATGTAATAATTCAGGGTATGGTATACTGCGCCCTTTAAGAGCTATTGTATCCCCTGTGCTCTGCTTAAAGCACATCGGTGAGTCCTATTTCATCAAGAAACTTGATTAATAGGCCCGGTTTCAGTGGTTGTAGTTCTTTTATGGTCACATTGTACATCCCAAAACACTTCCTCCTGCGGNTCTCCAGTCATGAATTCTGAAAGACAGAGATAATTAGTGTTTTTCCTAATCAATATACATGCACGGGGATTTTCCTGTCTGGAATCCCATACAGTCTTACCGTCTTTACAGGACAAACCTTTGATTTGTCCTTTCCACTGCCAGGGTTCCTGGATGAGAACTGCCCATAGATGTTGTGCAGTGAACATCCTAGCTATTACTGCCGATTTAAAACCATCGTCTCTAGTCGTCCGACATCGCGGTTGACAACTACTTTCATTGTTTCATCAAAGAAAACAATTTGGAAAAAAAAAATACAAACGATTAACTCACTCAACAAGTTAGCTTTGGAAAACAATATTTTTCAAGAACAGTAACTATTATCAAAATAAGAGCCCACTAACTCCAAATGGTGTGAGTATTTTGTTTATCTATCATAATCATGGTTATTTTAAAATTTTTATTAACCATAGCAAAGGTGATAGAGTACTATGGAAGTCGACTAACTCCATATGAAAGGATTGAAATCCTCACCTTTGAAAAAATATGGTATCAAGTATTAGGAGGTGCAAGATCAAAGGAGATAAGACGCTGATCGAAATGGTAGATACGATGACAAAAATTGAAGCTTTAGAAAGGTAAATACTATTTTAGAAACAATAAAAACACATACAATAATAATAATATTTAAAAATAATTTTATTTCAGATACTATTCGGTCATTTATGTTACTGGTATGAAATTCTTTAAAATCATTGGAAAAAGTGGTTTGGTAGCTAAGTCATAAGTGCGTTCGATCATAAAACATATCAATACATCGCCAGAAAAATAATTAGGTAAATATTTCATAATTAGTTTGAATGTTTTCACCTTTAAATAATTCATGGGTAAACGTTTCTTCTCAAATTTGCAGAGATAAGAAGCAGTTTCACCACCAGCTGTTGTTGAAGTCAAAATTCTTGACCACATGAGACAGAAGGACCAAGATTCACCTCTCAATGTAGTGCATATACTTGATTATTTTTATTTCCGGAATCAGTTACGTATCATTTTTGAGTTAATGAAGTAATGATTATTCGGAAATCGTGAGAAGTGAGGCTATAAAAGTGTCTTCCTCCCAATAGTAAGTTATGGTGAAGCCGGGTGGGCCAAACGACTACCTAGCAAAAGCAAAGCTATAATAGAGCAAAGCCAACGAATAGCTCTTATAAGAACCACAAAAGGGTACAGGACGATTTCAACACATGCCCTACAAGTAATAGCCAACGCACCGCCAATAGACCTAGTCCTAAAAGAAAGGGTGGCCAAAAAAAGAAAAATGAGGCTATTGATAGAGGAGCAAGCCAAGGAGAAATAGACTGGATCCGAAGCACGGGGAAGGAGGCAAAAGAGTACTTGGGAAGAATGACAAGGGCATCATGGCAAGAAAGATGGACAAATAGCAATAAAGATCGGCTAACATCCAAATTTTTCCCAAGCGTTGAAAAAAGACAAAAAGCAAAATGGCTACACTCCGACTACTGGACCACCCAAATACTATCAGGACATGGAAACTTCGCAAGCTATCTTCATAAATATAAGAAAAGAGAAAGCCCTTTATGCTCCGTTTGCAGCACTGAAGAAGACGCCGAACATAAACTCTTCAGCTGTATCAAATTCAAGGCAGAAGAACGTTTGCGAAAGACCATCACCTCAGCAGAATGGCCGCCTAATCTCCAAAAGCTAGTCGGTGATATCAAATCTTTTGGAGCACTAAAAGACTTTGCCTCAAATACGCTTAAATGAACAAGTCCCTATTTATTCTAATTATTAAGTCCTAAATATTGTTATTATTGTTAGAGTTTTATTACCGTTATTTATTTATTGCATATGAAACATAGGTTTAGGGTTCCGGGCTGTTTTCCTCTTCTTAGTAAGAAAATGTTTAGATAATATAAATAGATAGAAAATAAAACCAAGGAAAAGTAAATGTGCAAGGGGAAACCAGCAAGGGAAGACCTTTTGTTTTAGGTTCTAAAATGAAAATATGGTCCCTTCAAAAACCGACCAGCGGTCTCGCCTGAAGGAAAGATCGTTGGGAGGTATTTTTATCCCATTTATTTGAAATTCCTTAGATATACAAATTCGATTAAGCTAAAGCGTTTGTCCGCCGGTATGGGGTCTTCCTCAGGTACGGCGGGGTGGTGGAAAGAGTAAAATTTAAAAAAAAAAAATCGGAAATCGTGAGATGCGGTCTGGTGTGACGTAGATGTCAGAAAAACATTTTCTTTATCGTCCCAACGTTTCGATCTTTATTGAGATCATCTTCAGGGCTCAAAGTGTTTATTTTCCGTGTAGAGTCCCAATATTTTTAATTTTTTTTAAATTATTATATACATATGATCATCTAGAAGCGCATGTATATAAGTTCAAATTGTAAAATGTTTGTTGCCCAGGTCACTCTCGACACGACACGCAAGAATGGCACAATTACGCAGAAAAAAACCACTTTGAGCCCTGAAGATGATCTCAATAAAGATCGAAACGTCGGCACGATAAAGAAAATGTTTTTCTGAAACCTAGTCACACCAGACCTCATATCACGATTTCCGAATAATCATAGACTAACGGTTACTAATCACCACATATTAATGAAGTAAGTATATTTTTTAAATTGTTTAATGACTAATAAATAAGGCTATTTGTAGCATGGTTTTTTTTGTTGCAACCTGAACTTCACGAACTGATTAACTTATTAAGAGATTTGCACAATCGCTTGTCAAATGTTTAAAACTTCTCTATAAAGAGAAAATAATTCACTGTGATCTCAAAGCTGTAAATTAAGAATTAATTTTTTGTATATCGATATGAAAGCAATAATCTCATTTTTAATTTTTTTTCAGGAAAATATTTTAGCTTGCAGAAAAGGCAGCACATCGATAAACGTTTTTGGCAGTTACTGCTATGTTCGTCGAAGGGTCTATACATACATACAGATGGCTTTACAGAGACCCTGAGGTCTTGTTAGTAAAGATGTTGAAAATTTGTTAACCCGTGGAATCGCGGTGACAGACGCGGTTGATTCGACCGTAAAATTTTCCTATTTTTTTAATTGAGATTCAGAAATTGCCCGTTCAGAAATTCAAGCTTAAAAGTTTTTAATATTAAAACCTTGTTTCGTACCCGTTGTGTGAGAAAACCGGCCGTACCGTCGTAAATGCCAGGCGGACGTGCTACACACAGGAAAAACCAAATGCAATTTTGCCTTTACAATTTATGTCATCCCATTGAGGGATTATCCAGTGTTCCGGAGGGTTTTATTTCGCCACAAAGGGAGAACGAGGACGAGGAGCCGTCTCGAAGGAATTGTTCGATTCGGCGCGAATCGAAATAAATGGAGGTGACTTCCTGGAAACCGTTCTTGGAAGCAACAATTGCTACAGATTAGGCTGAACATACAGACAGTGCTAAATTCCATGCTCGTTGTTTAAACGTTTCTCTTTTGGAAAACTACCCAAACATATGTGGACAAAATTTGAACAATTTAAATGTAATAATTCAACGAACTAAAAATACACATCTATTTTTCAGCATTAAAAAACTGCTGTTTCAGTTTTTTAAAATATATCTGCACCCTCGGGGCAAAACTGGATAAGTTAAATTTTGGAAAAATTTTATAAGTCCATATTCCTTTAAATCTTTAGGTCGACAGACTATATTTTTAGACAAATCGAAAAGCTTTCGATAATTCTATTTTTCTATTGTAAAATGGAATAATTCAAATACTAAAATAAAATTAGTGTAGTTACCTAATGTCCTAATGAATATTTGTCTAGGTGCGCCAAAGAGATGTGTTTTTTTTAACTTACTTATTAGTTTAGCAGTTACTTAGTGCCATTATTTTATCTTAAAAATACAGCGGCTTTGAATATAATGACTTATTCCATTCGAACGGATTTGAACCCACGACCTTCGGCTCAATACGCTTCTATAACCGGTTGAGCTATCGTGATTTCAAGCTCAAGTGTTAGAAGAGCAGCGGCGTATTGAGCCGCAGGTCGTGGGTTCGAATCCCTCTCGTAACTCTAACTTTTTCATCTCAACCAAGACCTTAGATAAATATGCGTTAATTTAATTTTATTTTTAAGTTTAATAAAAATATTTATTTGATTTATATCATGGTTTATATTTTTTTATTATTTTTGTTTTATTCACTATTTTCAAGAAAAGGGTAATACAATTATAGGTTATTAATGACGAACGTTTCAGTCTTTCTCGTTAATTATTTTAAAATTAAAAATCATTTGTTTTTATCTTGTTTATCAACCTTTACGATTGACCCTGCACCTGGCACACCGAAATTCGAAAAAAACCGTCAAAGTTTACGCATGGAATTATTGGCAAGATAAATATGGTGAGCGGAAGCGGTGAGCCACGAAAAGAGCTGATTCATTTCACTGAGTGAGTGGTTTTGATGCGATCCTTACAAAGAGCTATTTTTCCAATATTTTGGAAGATAAAGGGTCTAAATTTTTATTTACCTTAATTAATTATACTTTTTATCTAAGGTCTTGGACGAGATGATAAGGCTAGTATCGCGAGCGGGATTCGAACCCACGACCTTCGGCTCAATACAACAACTTGAGCTGTCGTGTCCTTATCTTTTATTTACCTTTTATCGATTATTTTGACTGAAACCTTTTTCCTTTTTATTTTAATGGTGTGTTTTTAAAATTGTTTACAATTCCATTGTTTAATGTCTCGTTTAACAAGCATGTAACGAGGGTTCAGATTATAATGGACAGATTTAAAAACGTATTTGAATGCTGCACGCCTTTGATCTCTGCAGTTGTTTTGAATAAGCTTACATTTATTATAAAAACAAGGTTTATTTATTATTTGCAACACTACAATCGGAGTGTTTAATTAATTTTCCCTTATTGTGCAAAGCTTTTGTGACAAATAAAAAAAGTTACATTACAGTAATCGTAGTCAAAACATGTCTGATTTCTTTTTTTTTGTTTAATTTTATTTATTTTATAAGTCTTTAGCGGTATGTATTATAAATAATTTAAATGGAATGCTGGCACTGATTGTACAGTAGATAGGAAGAATAATTTGAAAAAAAAATTGGTCCAAGTGGAAGATTTAAAATAATCCTTTATCGCTGGGTTTTCTCTCGGTTATTTCTCTTTTAGTGGATCGTAACTAATTTAATCAATAGGATAATACATTATAGTCGAAGTATCCAATATTAGGTCCGATTTGTCAATGACCGTTTCAGGCAATGACAGGCGAAACGGCCCTATTTATACAGAGAGAGGGCAGGCGTCAGTTCGGTTTAACATTTCGGTCTGACACCTACGAGTAAACTAAATGATTGTTTTCAACTTAATGCCACTCGCAAATTAGTTTTCAATGTGACGGTAATATTACAAACCCGTGTGTATAAACTATTCTCTATTTTACACTAATTGCTATACTATCATGATCGATGCTCTTTTGCCCTTAGGCTTTAATAATGGATCCGGGCCTGGTCAAGGCGCCTAGATGAACACGGCTGCATCATTCGTTTACACAATAATCACCGTACCTGTCTATTTTCAATGTCGTTAATATTAATCAAATAGACTTCTTTTATTATCGAACAAAATATTTTTGTAACATTTATTATAGTTAATTAATTTTTATGTAAGGCATTGGTTGAGATAAAAAAGTCGGTGTCACAAACGGGATTCGAACCCACGACCTTCGGCTTCGACTTCCTATCTCAACCCGACCTTTTGAATATTCGCTCTTTTTTGCCATTTTTCAAATGTCGTGTAATCTATTTGATTCTCGGCGATAATTTTATCTCAACCAATACCTTATAAAAAATTAATCAATTGAAAGATGATATTTGGTCCATCGGACCACGAAATCTAATGAATTTAATAAGTTAAATGAAGTATATCTTCACTAAAGCTCTCCGTGGCCATTTCATTTATCGCCGAGAATCAAACACTTGAGCTATCGAGTGGTAGAGCAGCGGCGTATTAGGCCGAAGGTTGTGGGTTCAAATCCCGCTCGTGACACTGACTTTTTTATCTCAACCAATACCTTACATAAAGATTAATTAATTAAAAGATATTATTTGGTCAAGCGGTCCATGAAATCTAATGAATTTAATGAGTTAAATGAAGTATATCTTAACTAAAGCTCTCCGTGGCCATTTCAGTTGTCGCGGAGAATCAAATAGATTAGACGACATTTGAAAAATGGCAAAAAAAGAGGGAAAATTCGAAAGGTGGGTTGAGGTGGGAAGTTGGTGCCCGAGTGGATCAAAGTCAAGATAGCTCAAGTGGTAGAGCAGCGGCGTATTTAGCGGAAGGTTGCGGGTTCGAATCCCGATCGTGGCTCTGAATTTTTATCTCAACGAACACCTTACATAAAGATTAATTAATTGAAAGAGGTTATTTGGTCAATCGGACCACGAAATCTAATGGAAGTAAATGACAAAGTAAACCTGACAG